TCACAAGAGTCCAAGACCTGATTTCCATTTGGAAGCCCCTTGGGACTCCTTAAGTTGGGCTCTCTGTTCCTTCTGGCTTTTCCCCTCTTCTCCCACTGAAGGGAGAGTTTGCTCTCAAGAAAGCCTCACTCCCAGCTCATGTGCCTGAAGGGGCAGGGGGTAGCCCAGTGGTCCCTACTTCTTGGGTCAGCCTGGCAACTTCCCTCTCTGGGGATGTCCCACGGGGCCTGGATTCTCTGAGACATGCAGGATGTTCCCTCAGCAATCCAAGGAAGAGCCTCAGCCAGTGTGAAGTGTTCACCCAGCCTGCCTTTCCCCAAATTCAGTTTCAATTGTAAGTGCCCTGGACTGGGCCAAGGTACAATCTGCCCAACTGTGAATTCACTGATGTTATTTGATTAGCAAAGATCACCTGATTAGTAAAGAGGGAGGTGAAGTTGGCCTTGGCTGTAAATCTCACCACCCGAGAGCTTCAAGCAAAGTTCATGCTGGCATTGTTTCTGCTGTAAGTTGACTTTAGGTGACATCTTTTGCTTCTAGAAAACAATATTCCAGACATGAATAAGAAACTATGAGTCATACAATAAGTATAATACTAGGCTTGTGCCATGACTGCTTTTAGACCATTGTATTTTAGTGCTTGTTTAATTATCTGTTTGCTATAAAAGTTGGCAATCTTGGCTTTCCTCTCCAATGCAAACAAAATATTACTTAATTCCCTCACTGCTTATTGGTATAATAGTAGAAACTTTTAATTTTTTTTTTTTGCTGTTTTCCATTTCTATGTAGTTTAGAATGGGAATGGAAAGTTTTCAAGGAAACTTTTTTTTTAAGTCGGCTCCATACCCAGCATGGAGCCCAGTGCAGGGCTTGAACTCACAACCCTGAGATCAAGATCTAAGCTGAGATCAAGAGTCATAACTGACCGAGCCAACCAGACGCCCTAGAAACTTTTTTTTTCTTTTTTAAAGAGTCAGTTTTTCCTTGTGATAAATCTGAGGTAAAATAGAATTTTTATCAACAAGCCCCTGTTACTAATGGCAAAAAAAGTACCTGGACTTTTTGTCAGCCATGACACATCTAGGTGGCTTGGCAATCTAGGGTCTAGATTCTGCTTTGGCGGTCCAGAAATTCAAGCTGAGGAATTTCCTCAGCTCCCTGAAAGTTGAGTGAATTCAGGGTTATTAACTGTGCTGTTAACCAGTCTGTACATTCTCTCCTTTGCAGCAAAATCTATGGGAAGTCAGATGATGTTCAATGTTTGCTTGGTGAGCATGGAGTCAGAGCCAAAGCGGGGGGGGTGTTCTGAGCGGCATATGTCAGCCAGCTGTGGGAGCTGGATGTCCTTTCCCCTCCAGAGGCACTATTGTAGAGCAGGGCCCATTGCTCCTCCTCTTGGCTGCTGAGGCTGTCTTTCCTGCTGGCCCAGTGCTGGAAACGGAGTGTGAATAGCTTCTCTTGTTAAAAGAGAACACAAAACCCTCTAAGGTTTGAGCAGATGAGAGCTCTGGAAGACGAGACTGTGCATGCAGACACCAGCCTGTTTTCGGATTTTCCCTCTCTTTCCAGTTCTCTTCCTTTGATTCTGGCCGTTAATCACCATCTTCACCCCCAGGGGCCTCTGGTGCCCTCTAAAAAATTGGCCAAAGCCAAACATCAGTTCTATTTCTGTTACTGTTCTCAGCACAGCTGAGATAAGCTGAAATAGTCAATGGACATCTTATTAAAATTAAGAGAAAGCTAAAGAAATGAACATGTACTGAAGCTATGAAATCATCAGGCTGATGAAGGATAGATTTTTGTACCCGAGCTTGGTGTAAAATGTTGGGAAATCTAAGCCAAGCAGTAAATCATGACCAGATTAAACAATGAGTTCATCTTCTCAAGTGATGAGGCAGAGTATTGCCTTTTCAAAGCACTTTTCCTCTGGTGGGGCAGGCGTGACTGAGTAGGTTGTATATCCCATCTGAGCCAGGTTTACTTTTGCAGATTAACAATCTCATTGTAACAGATTCTTATATATGAAATGTATATTTCATGCTTAGAGTTGTGTCAATTCTGACATTGTCCTCAAATTCTGGGCTACTTCACAGAGCCCAGAAATTACTGATTACCAAATAAGTATGCCGGAGTCATAGGAATGACTTCTTTTCTAGCTCTTTCAGAGTCTCATTACGAATGCAATTAAAAAATATTCAATACTTTTCAATCAATAGCAGCCATTGTTTTTGATGCTCAAAATTTTCCATCTTTGGCCAATAGTAGCCTATTCATATGACTCTTATGTCCTTTTGACATGACCCCGTTAGTCTTGGAGTACTTCCTTACTTCCTTAGCTCATCAAAATGGTTCAGGCTCATCTTACACTTTTTTCTGGCTCAGACCTAGAATCAGTCACACTTCGAAGGAGCCCTGGTTCTTTTTAGCAAGGAATGGTTTTTGGAGACCACAACCTGGATGCTGCAGGTATTCATTGCTGTTGGGTTATCCTTAGTTCTAAACCTACTTAGTGGGTATACAGTTGACCCTTGAACAACATGGGTTTGAACTGCATGGGTCCACTTATAAGTGGATTTTTTTTTTGAGAAGTACTGTAAATACATTTTCTCTTCTGTATGATTAAGATTTTTTTCTCTAGCTTTATTGTAAGAATATATATATAATACATATAACATACCAAAGTGTTTTTTTATTTTTTTATTTTTAAGTACTATCTACACCCAATGTGGGGCTCAAACTCACAACACTGAGATCAAGAGTCACATGCTCTACCAACTGAGCCAGCCAGGTGCCCCAAAAGTTTGCATAGCAATTAATTTTTCTAAAGATTTTATTTATTTTAGAGAGTGTATGGGCTGGGGGAGGGGCAGAGGGGGAGAAAGAGAGAGAATCTGAAGCAGACTCTGGGCCGAGCATGGACCCCAACACTGCCTGGCAGATCCTAAGACCTCAAGATCATACCTGAACCAAAACCAAGAGTCCCCACTCAACCGACTGAGCCACCCAAGCACTTCAGGAATTAATTTTTTTTTTAAGTAATCTATTTACTCAACATGGAACTCAGGACCGAGAGTTGCATACTCTACGAACTGAGCCAGCCAGGCGCCCCATCCAAATATGAGTTGATTGACTGTTTATGTTACTGGTAAGGGTTCTGGTGAATAGTAGGCTATTAGTAAGGTTTTTGGAAGGTCAAAATTTATTTGCAAATTTTCCACTGTGGGAGGGGAGGAGGGAAGGTTTACACCCCTAACTCCCCTTTGTTCCTTGTTCAAGGATCAACTGTGTATGTATTTTGGAAAAAAAAAAAGGGCACTTGGGTGGCTCAGTCCGTTAAGCGGCTGCATTTGGCTCAGGTCATAATCTCAGGGTCCGGGGATCAAGCCTCTCCACTCCCCCACTCACCCAGTGCTCCCTGCTCAGCAGGGAGTCTTCTTCTCCCTCTCCTAGATAGTGCCCCTATCCCCACTTGTGCTCTCTTTCTCTCTTCCTCTCAAATAAATAAAATCTTAAAAAAAAAAAAGAAAATTAAAGACATTTGACAATGTCTGGAGACATTAAAAAAAATGAGTTCATACTAGTATTTCCAATTTAAATATAACGTTGCAGGATTTAAAAAACCTTAACTTCTTTGTACACTTGTATTTTCTGTCACACTGAAAAGATCTTGGTTCCTTTTGACATTAACATAATTATTTGCTGTAGTGTACATAAGAATTAAAAAAATCAATATCATAAATAACAATGCTACTTATTGACATTTAAGACTTCTTTGCAGCTCTATTTGCCCTTAATGTACAGTCATAATACTGTATTCTAAAGCAACTTAATTTTTTCTGTATTTTTGTGTTATCAACAAGATATTCAGTTAGGTTCATTTGTTTTTTTTTCTTTTTATTAATATGTTATTCCAGAGTGAAAACTATATAAGGCACATCCAGAATACCTCTCAGTTTTCCATTCCTCTCTCTTCCACACTGTTCCCTCCCATATAAATACTTTTTAGTTTTGATTTATCCATGTAGTGTTCCTTTTCTAAATATTAGCAGATACAAATGTCTCTATTTCCTTCCACATTATTCATTTTTATGATTAATATTCGATTGGTTAATGTCAGTTTAAGAATGACTTTTTTTTTTTTTTTTTAAACAGTAATAGTTAATGGTTCTAAACTACTTAAGTCTCCGGCTGGAGAGATGAGGAAGCATTTTAAAAAAACACTGCTTTTAAATGTGAACACTTTTTTTTCTTGAAGTCTTATTCTTCCAAGAGAAACAACCAGTATTATTATTTTTTACGTGTTTTCCATGCCTCTCTGAGCTGCTAGGAAAGAGTTTAACTCAATTTGGGATGAAGCTTGTGCTTCATCATCTGCCAGCTTCTCTGCCACGCCGCCAGATTCGCCAGATTCGTCTTTCGGTCTGCTAACTGTCCCTTCTGACGCTGTTTGGTTAGGTGGGCACCTGCGTCTCTCTGATGTTCTGCACCTGAGACTTGCCCCCCCCCCCCCCCCCCCCCCCCCCCCCCCCCGATCTTGGGAAAAGCGCAGAATCTCCCGCTGCTTCTGGTCCCCGGGCGCAGTTGTTCACCCGGCCGCTCTCCAGTTCCGAGGTTCCGGGGGTTCCAGGCTCCGCCGCTCTGCCACTCCAGGGCGCAGGTGGCAGGAGCCAGCTGGGCGCTGGGGAGCTAGGGCCGCCCCGCCTGCGCACAGTGATGGCGGGATTGGGGGCGGGAGCACCGCCTTAGTCTCCCGCGCGCTCGCTCGCTCCCGCCCTCTTCCCCGCCCCAAGCCCTCTCCTGCCTCAGCCGTGCAGGCTCCGCACTGCAGATGCCTGCCGACCGCCCAGCGCTCGGCGGCTCCAGCGGTACCCCCGAGCGCCGGCCGCACACTCGCTGCTCCGGAGGGGCCCTCGACTAAGCGGACTCGCCAAGTGCGGCGCGAGAAGCGGCTACGCCGGCGGGGCGGCGGGGACCCAGACGGACAGTGGCTGCGCCGGAGCCCGGGGCGCTCTCGAATGCGGCAGGACAAGCTGACCGGCTCCCTGAGGCGCGGAGGGAGATGCCTGAAGCGGCAGGGTGGTGGCGGCGGCGGCGGCGGAGGCGTGGGCACCATCCTGAGCAATGTGCTCAAAAAGCGCAGCTGCATTTCTCGGACCGCGCCCCGGCTGCTCTGCACCCTGGAGCCGGGTGAGGACCCGGGGCTGCAGATGGGGCACTGGAAAGTAGCGTGGCGCCCCGGAGCTGGTGCCTGTGCCTCAGTTGGACTCCGCCTAGGCGGGGGAGCGCTCGCGGGCCGCTCGGTGCGGGGTACCGCGGCTCCGCGCAGGCGGGGCTGGGTCGGTCTGGGAGGGAAGAGCGCGGACGAAGGCCTGGGCGCGGGCAGCGGCCTCCCAAGGCTGGGAGGACCCGCTGCCGCCGGCTCCCGCCGGAGGGTCCCGACTCCGCGGCCTGTGCGCGGTCTAGTCCTGTTTGTGCCGGGAGCTGCTGGCGAGCGGTGCGCTCGGCCTTGTGCGCTTGGTGGGGCAGTGCGGGCGGCTACCCAGGCTACCAGAGGCCGCGCAACCAATTGTGCAGCGGGTTCGCAGGAAGCCAGATCTTGAAAGAGGTGTGTGAGGTGGAGAAAGGCACAGGTTTGATACTTGAGGACGGAGGGGAAGGCAGCGGCTGCGAAGGAAAAATCGGGTGCATTTTCCTGAGGGTCTGTGCGGCGTGCCAGGGTCAGCTCGCCTGGAGCCTCTTAAATTTGTGTGTCTGTGTGGGGAACGGGTAGGAAACACTTGCAAGTAGAGGTTCTTTCTTAGAGCCAAAGTCCGGGAGCGCGCTTGCGTGCTATGCTAGGCCCTTTATGCCGCTAGCTTGTGTTTACACATCCCTTCTTCTCTAGGCTGCATAACCCCGCGTCTGCTCCACCACCCAGCATCCTTCCCTGGGGTTTTATGGGCCCGGCCCTGGCGCGAGCGCCTGGGCAGAGAGCTTTCCGGCAAGGGATGGCCGCAGAGGGAGCCGGCTGCACTCTCATCGGTGCTTAGCGCCGCTCGCTTGTCCCCAGTGTGGCACCAGCGGGGTTCCGGGCGAGTTTGTCCTTCTCCAGCCCCTGCCTCCCAGCGCCACCGGCGACCTGCTATCCTGAGGCTGCTGGAGAAAATCTGACGAGGCGCGGAACCCTAAAGGATGGAACGCGTGACTGCCTTTATGAACCTTGTGGTTTCTTTGTTTTTCTCGCCAAGGAAGTGTCTAATTGCAGAGACTGTAGTATTTATTCACCATCTTCCTTTGCCCTTAAAAAAATCTCCTTCCCACGTAAAAGTGTTTTGTATTTCTGAATCCGGAACAGCCGTGACTAGCAGATGAAACATAAACCTTCTCCCCTGCCTTACTCAGTTAGAAGAAAAGAGGAGAAAATGACCTGATTTCAGCAATCGCATGCAGGTGGTGAATGATCAATTCCAGTTAAATCCTGTGACTCATTTTAGATCATGAGAAAATAGTTTAGACTAACCCCAGCCGGTTTTCAGAACCTGATGCCCAGCAGGTGCTCTGAAAAAGCCAAGGGAGCGTATTCGTTCATACAGACAGGGAATCCAGAGCTTTTAGGTCAGTTGAAATAAGTCAGCGCGGGATCGAATTCTCTTGCCTTTGTTACAATAAAGCAAAAGTCATGACGGTATGCTCCTCCGTTCAGCACCCCGCATCTGGACAGCAGCCTTACAACAAAGTGTTTCTCATAGTGCCTTAAATCATTTGCTGCAGCTGTAGGCAATCATGTGGCCATTGTGTCATTGCTCTGCACTGAGGCAGGACTTCATTTAAACCATCTCAGAGAGATGAGAATTTGCAAGGGTACTTGATATACCCTTGGGGAAGGAAATCTAATCTATTTAGGCAGAATATGCTTGTGGCCCTGAAGCCTTGAAAAGACATCAGGGCATTGATTGGATGCCTGGGATTCTGTACCACAGCTTGACTTTAGAAATCTAGGACCCAACTCTTGTATTCATAGTACTCTTCCAGGACTCCCAAGAAGGGCATCTGCATACTTTCATGGGCTTGGGCAAATCATATACATCTCTTTCCAGCTTCTTGACTCCATATATATATATGTTTTTAAAAAGGACAAGTCTACTTTATTATTGTAATTTTAAATTCTGAAGATCGTTTCTATCTACATACCAACTCCTAAGCAGTGGAAGTTGTGGGGAGGGTTTCAGTATGCCTACTCTTCAATCAACATCTTAGAAGCAAACATATTGTCATAATTAACAGTCATAAATTGTAAAACTGAAATGCTGTTAATGTTTGGTATATCTTGATCCTTGAACTTTTAAGTAATAAGTCTTTAAAAAGGTGACCTGAAATATGATTTAATTGATTTTGAGATTATGGAGAAAGAACATATAACATTTTCAGATTTGATTATATTATTTTAATAAAATTTACACGGGAATAAAAATTGTCATGTAATTTCACTTCAGGACCAACAGCCCATACTTCTAACATGGGATTCTGAATAAAAGCCCAGTATGAATATAGCATATAGTCTTTGTATATTATAAACACACTGTCTTGATATATTCTCCCATTTTTTTTAAGATTTTATTTATTTGACAAAGAAAGAGACAGCCAGAGAGGGAACACAAGCAGGGTGGAGCAGGAGAGGGAGAAGCAGGCTTCCCGCTGAGCAGGGAGCCCGATGCGGGGCTTGATCCCAGGACCCTGGGATCATGACCTGAGCTGAAGGCAGATGCTTAACGAATGAACCACCCAGGTGCCCCTCTCCTATTTATTTTCTTCTCTTCCTTAGATTTGGGATTGGAATCAAAGAAGTTTATTTAAAGTTGTAGACAACTTGGAATTAGAGCTCAGTTATATTTTTAGCTTGTAGTCTATGATTAAACATACCAACTGTTTTATCTTCAATGAGCAAGTGTATCATGACAGAATTTTAAGATAACATGAAAAATCTTCAAATAAGATTGTTAACGTGGATTATTCCACAAGTGAGAAGACAGTGATACTATTTTTTTCCTTTTATTCTTCATTTTTTTAATTATGTTAATCACCATACATCATTAGTTTTTGATGTGTGACAGTGATAATATTTTTATAACTTAATATTTCACTGAAGTTTCCTTCATAGACTTAGTCCATGCAAATGTCTTAGAAAACAAATTCTGTAAGTAGAGAATTCTCTTCCTAAGTTTCATAAATATTAATTATACTCTGCTGGGTGATTTATAGTTAAATGTCACAACAATCTACTGAGATAGATATTATCTTCATTTTAAAGATAAAGAATTGAGGGGCACATGGGTGGCTCGGTTAAGCCACCAACTCTTGGTTTCGGCTCAGGTCATGATCTCACGGTCCTGAGATCCAGCCCCGCCTGGGCTCTGCTCTGGGCATGGAGCCTGTGTAAGAGTCTCTCCCTGTCCCTCTGCCCCCTGCCCAGGCGCCCCCCCCCCCCCCCTGTCCTCTCTCTCTCAAAAAAGAAAAAAAAAGAATTGAGACTGAGACAAGTTAATTGTTTGACACTAGGAACCAAAGTTGAGTGGGGGATCTGAGTGACTCCAAGTCTGTGGTATCATGTTTTTGGATTTTTTACTCTGCTCCAGACCACTGTGGAAGCCACCATTCTATGTGATAAGCTCTATTCTAGTGGCCCCGGGATATTTTTCTATTTTAGAAATCAATATTATTACCTTTTATTTTAGCAAAATTGACTACAATTTAGTAAAAATATGTTTTAAGAATTTTATGATGACTCAGTAGAATCACATTAATTTTTACTTTTATTTTTGACCTAACTTGTTATTTTCTTCCAAAATAACAGTTATATATTTTTCTTTTAGGAGTTGACACAAAGTTGAAGTTCACTCTTGAGCCATCTTTAGGTCAAAATGGTTTTCAGCAGGTAACTGTTTTTGGTTTTTGAAAATACTCTTATTTGGGGGTGTCTACAAGGTACACTAAGATATATTCTCAAAGTAGGACAATTAGTGTATACTTTGACACATAAGGTGAGTCCATTTTTAAAATTATAGATAAATTAGCTTACAAGCCTACAAGTGGCCTGGATTTATACCTGCAACAAAAAATTTTGTACTTGCTATTAATGGTGCAAGTGTGAAAAAAAATTAAAAAAAACCGAATATCTATTATTTTGAATCCGTAATACATGTTTTTGTTTCTGAACTAGAGCTTCCCAGCCATTGTGTGTGCACATGGGTCCCAGGTGTATTAAGAGTGCCTAAAGTTGGGGTTGGGCAGCCCTTGGAGCCTGGCTGAAAGAAGCTCTGTTTACCTCAGTGTGCTGTACAAATTTTGTCATACTCTCTGGATGTCAAAATAGGAAAAAGGTTGAAAAGTGCTTATCCAGGTCAATATTATCACTTTGCCAATGTTTCTCCTGTGTTCCTAGTGGTATGATGCTCTCAAGGCAGTTGCCAGACTATCAACAGGAATACCGAAGGAATGGAGGAGAAAGGTAAGGAGGATTCAGAGGGCTAAAGTACAGAATGATCAGCACTCTGTTCCTCTTTAAAATGTCTGAAGTGTCCAAAAGAATATTCTAGATTTAGTAATTTGAAAGCTGTCTCTCTTCATTATTAATTCATTTAAGAAGCATTTATTGATTATCGATTCTGTGCCAGGGACTGTTCCAGGTGGGAGGATAAAAAAACAGACCAAGGTTTTTGTCCTCATGGAGTTTACAATGAGTATAGTATAAAGTATGTCAGATGGTGATACGTGCCATGCATAAAAATAAAGCAGAGAAAGAAATGAGGAGAGCCAGGTGGGGGTAGGGGAATGGAGGTAAGGAGGTGGAATTTTAAATAGCAAGGTGATATTTGAATGGGACCCTGATGGAGGTGAGCAGCTGGGGAGGCAGCTACCTGAGGGAAGAGCACTGCAAACAGAGGAAACACCCTCTAGTGAGAGCATCTCAGGAGTGTGCAAGCAAAAGCAAGAGGCCGGGGTGACTGAAGCACAGTGAACAAAGGGGAAAGCAATTGGAGAGCGGGTTATAGAGGTAAAGGTGATAGGGGTAAGGGGATGGCAGATCATGTAGACCTTATAGGCCATATAGTAGGACCTTTGCCCAGTCTGAGATGGGAAGCATTGGGAAGTTTTGAGCTGGGGAGTAACATGATAAAGCTTAGGTTTTAAATGGGCCTCTCTGGCTTGATAATATGATGGACAAGGGCAGAAGCAGGGAGATCAATGGAAGACTTGGGATAATTCAGGTAAGAGGTGGATCAGGGTTGCAGTAGTGGAGATGGAGAAAAGGGGTCACAGCCTAGATATATTTTGAAGGCTGAGTTGACATGGATTCCTGTTAGATTAAATATAAGGTATGTGATTCTGATGCTTGGGGGAAAAATCTGGCTGGGGATATTGATCAGTGTTATTCCTGCTAAAGTATGTTCAAATACTAAAACTCGAAATGCTTTCTTAGTATATTAATTTATAAACCTAGTCTTAATACCCCTAGAATTTGAACATTGGGCATTCCTAAAAATATACATTAAAAATCTTACAGAAACAGCTTTTCAGGATAAAGTAATCAAAGGAATAAAAATATCCAGTGACTCTTTTAAAAAAGTTGTTCATTATGGGACCCCATCTGTCAGTTTTGTGTGTGTGATAGAGATTGAAGGATGATTTAAAGGCAGAGTCCGCTTCATGGTGAGAAAAGACCCATTCTCCATGAATTGCCAAGTACAGAGAGCAATTCCGAGCCAAATGTAACAAGCTCAGAAGATACTATAGCTAATCCAGTGAACTGAAATGAGAGTTGAAATTTTTTTTTTCTTAACAGTATCCCTAATGGCTGAATCATTGCTTGGTGCATAGTAGGAACTCAATAAATATTAATGGAAAGAATAAATGAAAGACCCTAATTGGTGCAATTCAGTATAGCAGACATTTCAATGAAAAGTTGATTTCTACTTGTGGGCTTTATTTGGTCTAGGATCAGTTCCCATTTTCTTGTTAGATGCAATAACTATTTTTTAACAAAGAAAGGTGAAATTATATATTTTACGTTAGCGTTCTTCTTTATCTCTTGATATTTTAGGTTTGGTTGACCTTGGCAGATCATTATTTGCACAGTATAGCTATTGATTGGGACAAAACCATGCGCTTCACTTTCAATGAAAGGAGTAATCCTGATGATGACTCGATGGGAATTCAGATAGTCAAGGTAAGGCCCCTGAGTTTGGCCTCTTGTCCTGACTTAGAAGGAGGTTTCTAAGAACCAGATGTTCCCTGGACAGAGGATCAAACCTTATGGTCTGAATGTCCGTATATATTCTACTTTCTTTTTCCATTAGTTAATAGCCTTTTAATGGGAACTTTGACTATGTCTTGTTTTCATAAATTTGCATGTTGGCAGTAAGAAGAAAATGTTCCTACTCATTCTATTTATTTATCTTGCTCACTTGATAGGAGATTGAAATTTCTTTCTTTAGCATGGGTCAGTGCTGTTAGCTGGATTTTTACATAAAAGTTACAGGTTGGGAAATTTAACGTTAAGTATATTTCATATTAGAATAATTGGGTTCTTATTAGGGTCTTTGATAATTTCTTACCTGCCGATTTATGAAGATAGATTGATGGGTCTACTTAAAACCAGATGGTCAAGGGTTCAGGCCAGCTGTGGAGGCAGCTGTGATTTGCCTACTGGGATTATTACAATTGATTAGGGCCTTTTGCCAAAAGCCAAGGTTGCTGATTCAATTTGATCCCACTCTTGTTCTCTTACATAAGCCTCTAGCACATGGCTTTTGATTTTATATGAGTTCATTACACTGTAACGCTAGGCTGGGGTTTTAAAAGGGAAGTTGTCTCTCATAAATTTTGGTCACCAAAGTTTGGTTAAGGTTTTGACAGATTTGAAGATACTTTTTTCATGAAGAAGCACTAACTGAAAGGAGCTACTTTGTGACCTAACTTGGTCCGTTTCAGACAAATATTAAAAACAATGATGAAATTCTATTTTGTATGTTTTAAAAGCCTGGGCACTATCCATATTTCAGCTGTATATTTGGGATTTCAGAATATTTCTCAGAGATGAAGCATTCCATATTTGAAATATTTTCTCTCTGTTTAAGTTGTGAGTTAAAGCGGTATACATTTTATAACAATCATGTTATTAAGAGGATCTTTCATTTTTCTCATTGAAGTGAATGCTGTGTCAGTAAAATGACATTAGCTCCTGAAAATCATAGTCTCTGCTTAGTTATTATATATATTGCCCTCATTAAATATTAAAGTGCAAGAGATGTTTTTGTATTTTTTATACAAATTTATAAAACAATTTGGATAGATTTTTCTGTCTTGGACAGAATGATTTTCCTGTCTCTCTACAGTGCAGATTGCATTTTTGCTATTTTTTTTTTTTTTTTTTTTTTTTACATATTGCCAGTTCATTTCTTTGATCCAGTTTGACAAGATCAACATTAACTGATTCCTGAACTGATATGATATGTACTTAATGGCAATTTTTCTTTCAATTCTTCTGGTCTGCGCAGAGGAGGCTCTTTGTAGGTGCCTTCCTAACAACAGCTCATACCTGGAATTTACATTTTTACCATACCATTTAGATGCAGTGCTAAGGATTTAAAATAAATGCTGGCAGCTGGAGACCTTTTTTTTCCCCTTTCCTTCTGTCATTCACCTGCACGTATCTCAGGATACCTAACTGATCCAGGGTGAGTGTTGGTAGTAAGGTAACAGCACAAAGAAGTCTATCGTTCTTTCCAAGACGATGAAAGTATTTAGGGAGATTTCTAGTTAATAACCTCTCGTTTGAAAGATAATTAGTGCTGTCTCTTTAAAAATGTCTTTTCAGTAGCTCACTGGAAATAATGGGTTCTTATTGTCACTGTTTGCCTTGACATCACATCACCTTCAGACCCGTGATATGAATCCCAGACCCAGACTGGCTGGAATCTGCATGGTTTCTCCTTAATATTAGAATTTTGATAGCTGGATATTACATTGTGTTTCAGAGAAAGGAATAATGTTAGCATCTGTCCTACATGTGTTGAAATGACTCTTGTTTTATCTGAGACATAGTATTAAACTGTCAATTTCTATAGAACTATAATGTAATTTTTGTTAATTCTGAGTCATTTTTATATTAATTCTGGAAACACTTTAAATTTTAACAGAAAATTATAAAGAAGTTTAGAAAATTTGCCTGACTGAAATTCCCCTTGACAGTGTTCTAATAAGTCCACTACATCTCAATAAAACTGGAAAAAAAAATGTATCTTAGCATATTAGAAAACATTAGGAAAAATTCAAAAAATTGTTTTTGCTCATGTGTATAGGGTACATAAACATTTTTAAAAACTAAAATCCATGCTGATAATCTGATTCTGTTTAATGCTGAGGCAGGGTTATAATTTAAGTCATTTTTTGGAGAGAATATAAGGAGCCATTTAAAAAAAATATTGTTTGCCTTCTTCAGGATCTTCACCGCACAGGCTGCAGTTCTTACTGTGGCCAGGAGGCTGAGCAGGACAGGGTTGTATTAAAACGGGTCCTGTTGGCCTATGCCCGATGGAACAAGAATGTTGGGTACTGCCAAGGCTTTAACATCCTGGCCGCTCTAATTCTGGAAGTAGTGGAAGGCAATGAAGGGGATGCACTGAAAGTGAGTATGAGGCTCTGAAGAGAGCAGTTGAAATTCTTCTGAGAGTGAAATACTGGAACTGTAATTCCTCTTTCCTGATGTCCCACCCCCTTCCAAGTTATTTGCTGCACCTTTGTAATGACCCATAATCACCATTTCCCCCACGTTAAAGCCAGGTCAAGTGATGGACTCACGTAGCTGCCAAATGTGAGAATGATTATGTTTTTGGCCCCACTTATAAAAGCATCACATTTTTAAAGCAAGTTGAATACTAATTGTGTTAATTATGCATGGCTTGTAATGAATTAGCTACTTAAAATAGCAAACATGGTTTACCTCACAGTTTCTTTGAGTCAGGAATCTGGGTGCACCTTAGGTGACTCAAAGTCCTATCATTGTGGCATCCAAACTGTTGGCTGGGTCTGCAGCCTCATCTGAAGGCTCAGTTGGGGACAGCATTCACTTCCAAGTTCATGTGGTTGTTGGCAAGACTTAATTCCTCACACGTGGCTGGACCAAGGGCCTACGTTCCTGGCTTGCTGTTGGCTGGAGACCTTTTTTAGTTCTTTGCCATGTCTCCATCTTACAACAAGGTGGCTGGCATCCCTCAGAGTGAGTAAGAGAGTAAAAGAGAGTGAGCAAGGTAGGAGAGATTAAGTTGCAGATTTGTGACCTAATCAAAAGTTACATTCCATCATTTTTGCTGTATTCTGTTCATTAGAAGCCAGTCACTAGGTCCAGCTTTTACTCAAGGGGAAGGACTTGTATAAGAATGTGACTAGCAAGAGGCGGAAGTCACAGGGTGTCATGTTTGAAACTGCCTACTCCACACAAGTTATGTTTAATTCTGGTTGGATCTTCTTATTGGGTTGCTTTACTATTTCATAGATGGGGGGAGGTATGGAGGAGGTAAGCTGAGAGTATGTGTATATGATGGAAGGTATTTGCATGGAGAAAGGTTATGGAAGTGAATTATATTTTATTATCTTTTAATCTTCGATGCCTGGAACCTTTATTAGTAAAAACATTCTGGAAACACTTTGAGATGGGTTACAAGCGATTTAAGTTTATAATTTGGAATGTGAGTCCGTGAGTCACCAGAAATAATCTTTATGAGAAATGAAGCATTTCACATGCACAGGATGGCTACTTCCTTATGAGCTTGGGGCAATATGGGGTTGCTAATTCATATTTGAACCCTCAAACTGCTGTTGGTTGCAATGCTTTGTGATGGGTGGGATGGATACTTAGTCTTGGTATTCAAGAGCCTCCCCCAACCCCAGCCTTATGTTTGATTGTGGTATGTACCTTAGTGATAGTCCCAGTCACTGACTAATGTCATACGGAAAAACAAACAACTGTTCCTCCTGGTTTCATGTGCATCATGGTGGAATTAATTATAAACCCAGCCCGACCTAGTCTAAATCTGTATTCACCCTTTCCTTTTTTCCATTCCTGTACTTAAGGAAAACAGCTCTGAAACTACTTGTTCATCAAATAAAGTGGGGGAGGGGGAGCCAATGACAAATCAAATACATGAGTTTAAAACATTTTTTATTAGGCCTTTTTTTTTTTTTACTCAGTCTATCAGCTTTAGTTGATTTTTTCTTTTTAGATGTAATTTCTGTGACTATAAAATGAGAGCTGTTGAAAAGTTGGAATAAGCAATTCGGGTTAGGAGTGAGGTGGGGAGATCTGGGGGAGGGGACATACATGCCAATCAAATCATGAAAGAAACTCCCTGAGAAACTAAAAATTCACATAAAAAAGAGAGATGAGATAAAGCTGAGGAACTGAATATTTATATTTCTGCTTCGAAGAAAATGAACTCTGTGAAATGAAATGACATCATCGTCATTTTGGAATCTTGTGGTTAGACAGTGAATATGCAGAGGAAGATTGGATTCATGAAGAATCACTTCAGATGCAAAGGAAAATACTGGGGTCAATGTTTTTCAGCAGCTGTTTTGGCCCCTGCAAGTTTTCAATATTAGGCAAATATATAGTTTATTTGAGAAGTAGGTAAGCCATTTTGCGTGCTTTTCTGCACTTACTGTTTTTTCTTAACTGTTTTTAGCTATTTGTTAATACATTGAGGCTCCTTCGTTATTTACTTTTAAAAAAATACATAATTTTTTTTAGAGCAGTTTCAGGTTCACAGCAAAATTGAGAGGAAGGTACAGAGATTTTCCATATGCCTCCTGCCCCCACACATGTACAGCCTCCCCCACTACCAACATCCCCCACCAAAGGTACATTTGTTACACTCCATGAACCTATATCAACGTGTCATAATCACCTAAAGTGCATAGTTTACATTAGGATTCACCCTTGGTGTTGTACATTCTGTGGGTTAGACAAATGTTTAGTGACATGTCTTATCATTACAATATTCATACAGAATGTGTTTACTACCCTAACAATCCTCTGTGCTCTGCCTGGTCATCCCCCCTACCCTCTCCCCCCCACCCCCCGGCAAACACTGATCTTTTTGCCATTGCCCTATTCAGAATGTCACATAATGGTTGGAATCATACAGTATGTAGCCTTTTCAGATTGGCTTCTTTGACTTTGTAGTATGCATTTAAGGTTCCTTCCTGTCTTTTCATGGCTTGGTGGCTCATTTATTTTTAGTGCTGAATAATACTCCATTGTCTGGATGTGCATAGTTTGTTTATCCATTCACCTACCAAGGGACATCTCTGTTGCTTCCAAGTTTTGGCAAATATGAATAAAGCTGCTATGAACATCTGTGCGCAGGTTTTTGTGTGGACGTGAGTTTTCAGCTTCTTTGGGTAAATACCAATGAGTGTGATCGCTGGATGATACGGTAAGAGTATATTTAGTTTTCTAAGAAACCCCACCAAACTGTCTTCCATAGTGGCTGTACAGTTTTGCATTCTCCCCAGCAATGTGTAAGAGTTCCTGTTGCTCTACATCCTTGTCAGCTTTTGGGGTTGTGGGCATTCCAGATTTTGGCCATTCTAATAGTTGTGTGCTGTGGTATCTCATTTTAATTTGAATTTCCTTGATGACATATGATGTGAAGGATCTTTTCATATACTTATATCCCATCCCTAAGTACCTCTTAAAGTGTTTGGCCCATTTTTAGTCACATTATTTTACCTTGAGTTTTAAGAGTTCTTTGTGTATTTTGGATAGCAGTCTTTTATCAGCTAGGTCCTTCACAAATATTTTCTCCCAGTCTGTGGCTTGCCCTCTCATTCTCTTGACATTGTCTTTCACAAGACCGAAATTTTTAATTTTGAAGAAGTCTTGCTTACCAGTGATTTCTTTCATGGATCATGTCTTTGCTGTTGCATCTAAGAAGTCATCACCATTCCCAGGGTCATCTAGGCTTTGTTACCTTCTGAGAGATTTACAGTTTTGCACTTTACATTTAGGTCTGCAATCTCTTTTGGGTGAATTTCTTTTTGTGAAAGGTGTAAGGTTTGTGTCTAGATTTATTTTTTGGCATGTGGATGTCCAATTGTTCCAGCACCATTTGTTGAAGAGACTGTTTTTGCTCTATTGCCATTATTTATCCTAACTTTTTTTTTTTTTAAGATCTAATGTGTGGTCTTCGAAATATATTAGTGGGTGGAGTGACATACCTAACATTACACTCAGGACCTTCTTTCTCCACACAGATGGAATATAGTGTACTCCTTTTATTGCTAAGCTCCACCTGCCAAGTCTTGTAATAAAGGTCTCAGAGGGACCCTCTCAAGAGTATGGCCCAGCCCTTATTGACTTAGTCAAAACAATTGCCCTAAAAAGTAGAAATTACAAGCCAGAGATGAGGGAAAGATGGGCCCTTGTCAGGTCTGGGAGATAATTTTCTTGGAAAATAGTTTCGTGTTAGACTGAAAATTAAAATGTGAGACCATCATATAGGGCCAGCTATGATTTTATTCTTAATTTTGTTTTTCCTGTGCCCTGGGGAGGGAGTGGTCTTCTAGGGAGGGAGGAACACAGCAGAGAATATGAGCTGACAGGGGAAGGACCAGAGATTGACATATAGAACTCTTGTGTTTTGCTGGGTCATTCTTGTGGTTCTTGACCTCTTAGCAAAGGTAACACAAATTAAAAAAATAAGAATGAAAGTAGTAATTTGAAGAACTTGTGAGACAATCTTATGAAAGAAATCCAGATTTTGAAAGTACCATGTGTTCAAACAAAACTCTTGTTGCATTCACATGGGAGAGGAAAGTGGATCAAAGTCCGCTCCCAGTTCTAATAACTGGGTTATGCTAAGTGCATCTCGAGACTTGCTTTTGTTGCGGGGCGGGGTGTTTATGGTGGTTCAGCTCTTGGTTTTCATAAGAAGGTTGTGCAACTGCTGACATCAGGGAGCCAGTATTGGGATTCCCACTGGCTGCTGATGGGGCATGTGCTTCACCACTTCTGAGTGAGGCTGAGGGTTGTACCAGCACAGCTCCTTAGGGGCTGAACTCAGGTCTAGTGCCCCATCTAGAAACTTTAGACAGCAGTGGACTATGGGTCTGAGTTACTTTAATAATTATGCCACTCACTCCTTACCTGGCGTGGAGATGAGCCTTGAAAGTCCAGAACATTCGGTATTGACACATTGGAAGGATGGTGTGCTTTGGCTAACTGCATTTTTGAATATGTTCCTTCTATTTAGGACATGTGGGGATCCCAGTTTTTAGGAAGCAATCTTATTCTTTATCTTTTCCTTCAGATTATGATTTACCTTATTGATAAGGTACTTCCTGAAAGCTATTTTGTCAATAATCTCCGGGCTTTGTCTGTGGATATGGCTGTCTTCAGAGATCTCTTGAGACTGAAACTCCCCGAATTATCTCAGCACCTGGATACTCTTCAGAGAACTGCGAACAAGGAAAGTGGAGGTAGTGATGACTCAGTGCTGTTATACCTTTGAGAATATTTTACTTCCCTGATTCCACAGTACACCTGAGCCTAAACCTTGAGCAGAAATACTTGTTTTCAGGTATTTCTGTTAATGAGCATTTGGTGCAATGAAATAGGTGGCTAGAGAACAAAAACACAACTGAAAAAAATCATAGGGCCACATGTTGAACCTCCGAGTGGTCCTGGTTGGGAAGTCCGTCAAGAACTAAATACTTTACCAGTACTGGATTGACACCTAAAATGATATAGTGCACTCTGGATGAAGAGTGGAGTCCATGTCTTACCATCTAGTTAAACTGCTCTCAGCTGGTACCAACCCACAGGAGTTCTTTAAAGCTGAGCAATAGTACAATTTCGCACAGACTGTGGTTTTCCCTGAACCATGGAGCCTGTAGACAGAGGAATACACATCTTCCTTAAGTTTTAGGAGATAAACCAACAGTCTTTTGGATTAAAATTTCAGTGCTCCTTTTATCTATCCATGGTAAGGGTATTTAGATTTACTGAAGATGGATGGCTCAGCTCTTTCTGGAGAAGGGCTTCCTGGGACCTCCAGGTAGCTTCGGAGCCCTGGGTTGAGGCAGGGATGGAGACTCTGCTCTGCAAGCGGCCCCAGGTCGCTGCTTTCTGAAGCGCCCGAGCTCACGGCTGTGGTTGTACCCACTGCCTGCACTTGCCTGGCTAGGTGCAGGATACCAGGAAGAATAATGAAGTCTGTTGTGTTTCCTGTAAATGGTTGCCAATTCCCCACCCATGCATTTAAATCTGGGAAAATATGAAAGGATGTGAGGACCTAATCTGTAATTATAGGACCTTGGAAATTTTAGTGATGCCTGGGTGTCTCTCAGCATTTCCTTCTCAGCCATTTGAATAATCTCCTTTACTTTGGTTGCGCAGTGTCATTGTGCACCTGTGGGGATTTCATAATGCGTCCAGATAACACTGCCTGTCCCATGTCAGACATGCTTTCCTGGGCTCCACTTTTTCCTCCAAATGTCCTGCACTTGCCCATAAGCACTGCCCTCAGATTCTAAGTCTCTGAACAACAATGCTCCTTTGTTCTTGAGGAAGAAGAGAGAAAATGAGTGCAGGAGAATAGAGCTCTTTTGGCTTATCCTTGGGTAAATGCGTAGTCTAATTCAGAGGGAGGATCAGTTTAAATATCTACATTTGTATGTTTCATAAAATACATACCTAGTGCCATCAGGGGAAGTAGGAGGGAGCTCTGTGTTTTTGGCGAACTCAGAAACTTCAGTGTGAGCTGTGTGTATAGTTTAGTTCACAGTATTTTAAAATTTCATGTTGTTTAATCTCCAAATACTTTGGACTTTTCCAGCTCTTTTTCTGTTATGATTTCTAGTTTAATATCACTGTGGTCTGAGAGCTGGGCATAATTTAAGAAGTAGACAAGTAATGAGCAATGTTTTATCATCAGCATTTGAATAAAAGTGGACTTTATGAGGTTTTGAAAATTGGATTCTGCTTTTAAAAAGAGGCTAAAATCCTTTCTTTTTATCCTGTTTTTGGTGAGGAGAACACTCTCCTTAATTTTCAGCACCCCACAATAGGTAGAGACAAATTAAGTTTTAGGTTAAGATATCTGCAATATCAGGGCACCTGGGTGGCTCAGTGAGTTAAATGTCTGCTTTTGGCTCAGGTCATGATCTCAGGGTCCTGGGATCAAGCCCCAGGCTGGGCTCCTTTTCCCCTCTCCCTCACCCTCTGCCTGCTGCTCCCTCTGGTTGTGCATGTGGTGCTCTCTCTCTCTGTCAAATAAATCTTAAAAAAAAGATTTCTGAAATATCATAAATAATTTGTGAAAATTCCTTATTGAGATTTTTTTTTTTATCAAACACACCTATGTTCTTCCAAAAAGAGGAAAGAGAAAAAGGAGGAAAGAACCAGAATTTAGAGATCTAAAGAAATCAGCCAGGAAATGTAACATGTTTGGTGGACATGGATGATTGAACAAGACTATTTTATATCTTGCAAAGCATCTATTCTGAAGAAACACAGAGTGTTTGTTTTATTTCAGGTGGATACGAGCCCCCACTTACGAATGTCTTCACGATGCAGTGGTTTCTGACTCTCTTTGCTACATGCCTCCCTAACCATACAGTCTTAAAAATCTGGGATTCAGTCTTCTTTGAAGGTTCAGAAATCATCTTGAGAGTGTCGCTGGCCATCTGGGCAAAATTGGGAGAGTAAGTGATTTCCCCATTTTGTTCTGTTCTGTGGTGTGGAGGGCCTTAAGCAATTTTGTGCTCTAGTGTGAAAAGCATCTATATTTAAGTAGGAGCAATAGAGAAAGTTGGGAACTTAGTTGAATTGTTTTAGCCTTCTGAAATCTTAGTTGGCTGATTCTTGATTGTTGGGGGGCAAATGGAATATATGTTGGGGAAGGGGGCAGGCGTTTCCAGGTCTGTAGATCTCCTCCTCCTCAGTGCTAGTGTCCTGGCTGGTTTACTCTGCAGCCTCTCCCCAGTCTCTAGTTGGGAGGGCGAGGAACTGAGATAGAAGAGGAAGATCGGAGAGGAGTAGCTGGGTTTGTTGATTAACATTCACGATTTGGATGATTTTTGAATCCTTAGTTATTTATTTAGTTCTGTCCTTCAGGGTCATTATAAAATTAAATGAGATAATATGTATAAGGTTTCTCTGTGGTGCTTAGTACATAGTCAAGAGTAGAACACACAGAGGGCACCTGGCTGGCTCAGTCGGTAGAGCATGCGACTCTTGATCTCAGGGTCGTGAGTTCAAGCCCCACTTTGGGTGTGGAAAATAGTTAAAAAAAAAATAGTAGAACACATGGAACTTAAAAAAAATAGTAGAACACATGGAACTTCTTTCTTTTCATCAAGAATTAATTCTGTGATGAAATCTGTTACTACCAAACATATTACCACATAGATGTTACTTACATTTATTACCAGTAGCCCGACTGTAAAAAGGAGGATATTTTCACCCATCTCTAATATATTATGACTATTATGTTAAAATTCTACCTTCTGGGTAATGGAAGGGACATTAGGATGAAATTGTTATAGTTAAGAGGCAGAGAAGTTTTTAATGTTTCTTTCCTAGAGCTATAAATGACTTGAGTGGATACTCCTAGACAACATGTCAGAAAACTAGTAAATCACTGCCAGTATTTTGTTTCAAAAACCTTTTAACTAGCCTTTTTATTTATGGTAAGTTGTTTCCTGGGAGACTTGCAGTATTACATACTTTTTTGCAAGAAAGATCCACCAACTATCAATTCAGGGATTTAGAAAGATCGTTATTGTGTATAAATATTTTGAAACATCACATAGCTATCTCCGTTGGCTTTGTTTTATGGTACACTGCTTTTCAGCTGGACAAATAAATGAGTCTGCTGGGGATTTGGCACGCTGTTTACTTATCTTCTCATTTCCGCCCAGTAACTAGATCTTTCTGCAGTCCTACATTTCCAACCTCCTCTATGCCTGAGGCTCTTTGAACTTTGATAGTGTCTGTGGGTGGGATAGTCCAGTTACCGGGTAACTAGTTTATGGGATTAAAATAGTGTAGCAATTTACTGTGTGCTGAGTCCATTAGAGTCACCTTTGTGCTAGTTCTTAGTTATGGGGCAGGAGGAAAAGAAGAATTCTGGTTTTATTCCTCCCTATCCATTATGTGTAGGATCAGAATTTATTCGTCTGGTCCTCCCAGGGATGTCACACTGTGGACCGGCATTGCTCTAAGCACTCTAGATGTGAAACTAACTCATTTAGTCCTCACCATCATCTTATGAGGTAGGTACTGTTCTCACCCCCATTCTACAGATGTGGGAACTGAGCCACAGAGAAGTTAAGTGAATTGCCCAAGGTCACCCAGTAAGTGGAAGGGCCTGATTTTGAATCCAGATATCCTGGCTCTAGGAGCTGCACTTTTTTTTTTTTTTATTTAAGATTTTATTTTTAAGTAGTCTCTACGACTAATGTGGGGGCTTGAACCCACAACCCTGAGATCCAGAGTCACGTGCTCTGCCACCGACTGAGCCAGCCAGGCGCCCCTAGAATCTGCACTTTTAGTAATGTGAATCTACTGATACTGAACAGTATTGTTTATGAAGTTCAGGGGATATAGGAATCACACTGGTGGGACTTTAAATGTTTCCGTGTCTTTGCTCACTACACTTCTACGTTTTTTGAGCATGCCACTTGTTACGTGAAAGGACGGGCAGCCAACACAGGTCACCAAGCGCCTACAGTGCTGTCATTATGTCAGGCAGCTTAAACACATGATCTCATTCGGTTCTCCGCATAACCCTGGGAAGTAGGTAGGATTTTTCTCCTGCCTTTCCCAGTACGAAAGCTACCCCAGCAGGGTGAATTGACTAGCTCATGGTCACATAGCTCATTAGTCACAGAGCTTGGGACTTAATCCTAGCTCTTTCTGGCTCCAGTGCCTGTATCCCTCTCCCACAAACTTTCCACTGGAAAAATCATGAACAACAGATCCTTGGGACCTCTCCGTTCCCCTTAGTCCTGCAACTTGGCATTTCTTCTCACACCACAGGTCCTTCGGGAATACGTAAGCTGGGGCCTCTCGGCGCACCTTCCCTGGTGTCTCTCATGTATCCGTTCTCCTCTGACGCTCTGCGTTGCCTTGTTCCCTCACACGGCATCCTGGCCCAGTGCGGTGTTTCCTCCCTGGGCTCCCCATCATACCCCACACTTGCCGCGGGACCTCCAGCCAACCTTGCCGAGGGCACATCTGTTCCCACACTCCCTGGGAAGTGCCTTTCAGTGACTCTTGCCCCGAACAGGCTCAGCAGGCATGTGCCCTCTGCTGTCTGCTCCTTGCAGGACCTGGAAAGGTCCTGCTGTCTCCTGCATCCATGTCTTTGGAAAGTTTTTTCTTCCTTTGTCAGCCTGGAGAATATTTTTCAGAACTCATCTGAAGCATTATTTCCCTTCCTCACCCTCCAGGGTAAACTTAACCACTTTTTCAATTATGCCCACATGCCACTCTGTAGTTTTGTAATAACATTTCAACAGTCTATTTCATTTAATGGCAATGGGATTGAAGAGCACTCCAGAAACTGAAGTTTTTCCATCATCATGTTTCTTTTGGACAGCCCTGTGGAAATTCCCCGACATTACTGTATGTTGAAGTGTATGTCTTATGGTTGGTGGGCAAATATAATTATCCTACTGTACAAAGAACTTTGTAATAGAGAAAACAAACACATAGTACTTTTGCTTTATTTTCAAATACATATTTATTTACTTATTTGTTGGTTTGTTTGTTTTTCTGTGCCAGAAGCATTGTTTTATTAAAGCACGGGGGCAGGACCCGTGGGCGGGAAGAGCTGCCCACAGTGCTCTTTGCTTTAGACTATTCCTTTTTTTCCCCTTCTAGACGAAGGATGAAAGTCTAACCTGCCTTATAGGTTGCCAGATGACAGATTTCTTTATTTACATGTAGAACCAAATGCAAGAAGCAGGGTGTAATTTCCAGCTGGCTTCGGTGCCCAAGAAGAACTGAAACATTTCTGTCCGTGAAAGCATCCTGTGAATGATGAAATAGGCAGAAAAGTTCTTATTCTTGTATTTCTCATCTTTCACTTCTGTGGTTTGGTTTTAGTCTATCAATGATATCACCATTTTGCAGATGGAGAGCCCTAGATGCCCTACAGGGGGTAATTGTTCTTCAGTACCCAATTTTGTGGTTATTAATTCTGATCGGTGGTGGGCATTCTGATGTGTAGACTGTGTCACAGGAAAATAATAAAGATGCCACAGGTGGGGCTGTGAGGCTGGTGAGCAGATAGGAAAAATAGGAACTCACCCTGTAATAAGTACCTCTAAGCTGCCTTTGATGTTTTTTTGCAGACTATGAACCAGAATTGTGATTTTTAAAAAAATCAGCAAAAATGGGTTTATTTGGGAATAGCAGAGAATTGCAAGCCAGGACATGCAAACTATGACCAAGCCATAGGCAAGTGCCTAGGATTGTGATTTTTGTTGATTGCTAACTTGATTTTTGTTCATTGCTAACTTTGATGGCAAGAGGCGACACATCCTGTTGCACCTGCAATATATACCTGATAAACACCATGGGGGTCCTAAACATTCTTCTTCTGTCCTTTCTTTACCTAGGCAGATAGAATGCTGTGAGACAGCAGATGAATTCTACAGCACCATGGGGCGCCTTACCCAGGAGATGCTAGAGAATGACCTTCTGGAAAGCCACGAACTCATGCAGGTGAGTGGGCAGCATGGCCTCACCTCAGGGAACGTGGGGAAATATGTTTGGCCAGCCCTCAGATTTAGTTTTTCACTTGACCACGAGTCTATATATAATTTGATCAGAATCTATGTCACAAGAGGAAGGAAGAAATGGATAATGGATATTTGTTATGCTTCCATTCAACTGTGTTGCTTAAAAGTCCAACCTCCAAAAAAATCCCCAAAACTTCCAAATCTGATTTTTTTTTAGATTTATTTCTTTGAGAGAGAGAAAGAGAGAGAGAGAGAGACTGTGAGCAGGGGGAGGGGCAGAGGGAGAGAATCCTCAAACAGACTCCCCACTGAGCAGAGAGCCTGCCATGGTGGGGGACTTGATCGCAGGACCCTGAGGTCATGACCTGAGCTGAAATCAAGAGTCAGATGCTCAACTGAGCAACTCAGGCACCCCTGAATCTGATTTTTAACCTTTTAAAGGGAGACTTGTGGGGCAACATAAATATTTTGGGGGAGAAATTGAGGATAAAAAGGAGCTTATTCTTTTTATTTTATTTTATTTATTTATTTGAGAGAGAGAGAGAGAGAATGAGAGAGAGAGAGAGGGGAGGGTCAGAAGGAGAAGCAGACTCCCTGCCAAGCAGGGAGCCCGATGCGGGGACTCTATCCTGGGACTTCAGGATCATGACCTGAACCGAAGGTAGTCACTTAACCAACTGAGCCACCCAGGCGCCCAAAAGGAGATTATTCTAATCAGCATTTTGGTTTGTTTTACCCACATTTTCTACTTCTGTTATTGTGTATTTTTTTAAAAGATTTTATTTATTTACTTGAGAGGTGGAGAGAGTGAGCATGGTGGGGTGGGGGTGTGGTGTAGAGGGAGCAAGGAGCAGGGAGCCTGGGGCAGGGCTCGATCCCAGGAACCTGGGATCTATGTACTAGTCGTAAGTTTTAATGTGAAAGACTTGAAGGGTTTTGTTATTTTCTGGCATGTTATTTTTTTCTCAGTATCGTATTCATGAAGGCATTAAAATTGATAGTATAGAAAAGACAGCAAATTTGTTAACATTGTCTCTTCTGTTACCCTTATTTTCCTCTGATGCTCCTGACCCCTTTGCCGGTCGTTCCCCTTGCCCACTGTGGGTCTTGTCCAACGCTGCCCTTGGGCCTTGTTTCCTCTTTTCTCTGTGGTTTCTCCTTTATCTGGGTTTCAGTTTTTACCCTTATGTTGGGTTCTATGTGTGAGGTCGTGTTTGGGTGCTGGGCCCAGTCAACAGATTGGAAAACAAAGACTCAGACCCACCCTGACTTAGGGCGTGAGAAGCGGGGAGTTTCTATTCCTCTGTTCGTTTCCTGGCGTCTCTGGCTCCTTCTCAGAATCCCTGATTTTTAGCAGACAGCTGCCTGACTCATTGAGAATGTTGACCACCCGATAGAACTTCCCTAAGCATTTGTGTTTTTTATTTCAACTTTTCTTTGCATTCTCATTTCTTCTTCCTTCTTTCGTGTCTTGGAGGAGGAAGGGGTCTGTCTGACACTGACGTCGATGCTCTGATCCCGACTCTTCTCACATATCCCGGGGTCATTGCTGCATCGTCGCTCATTCTCTCTCAGAGGGAGGTACCTTTTATTGAATAGGGCTCTGGGTGCGGGTCCATGCTTGGCATTTTCCATGTATGGGGTCCTCTATGTCCCGCAGAACTGCCTGAATCGTATGCCCAAGGCAGGACTTTGGGATATCGTTCCTTCTCCCTCACTCATGAAACTTCAGTGGCTACCTCCATGTACTGCCTACAAAATGAAGCATGGATTTCTCAGCTTAGCATCCAGTGCTCTTGCCTGTCTGGCATTAACCTATCTTTTCGGCCATGGCTGCTCCGTTTTGTACCCTTGACTTATTCTAGTCCGGTCACGCTGTCTTCCATGCTCCCAGAAATCCCTGGGAATATTCCTCCTCTGTTCCTGTGCCCCCTCTGCTCAGTCTTTCCCTTCTACCTCCACATGTTCAAGGCCTGCCTCTTCCTGAGGAGTTCCAGTTCAGATGCCATCTCCTTTGTGGAACATTCTCTGAGAGTCTCAACGAAAATCATCTCCCATTTCTCTGAATCACCGTGGCATTTTCTTTGTACCTCTCTCGTGAGCATTCATCACATTCTACCTTAATTGAAGACCGTCTTATTTCCTTAGTGATATTTTTAAGCTCCTTGAGGACAGGGACTATGCTTTGCTTATAAACCCTTAGCACTTTGCCTTTTACTAGAGCTGCTCAATACATTTATTACTTCATTAAGCAAACACCTGTTGAGAGTCTGCGATTAGTTTCCTGCCTTCTCTCTTTCAATAAATGTTTGCTGAATTAAATAACACTCACAGATGGTGGCCCTCCTTCTAGATTCTCTCTGCTCTAGTATGATCGGCATTTTGCTGCCACAGTGATCGTCCACACTGCTTGGGTCATTTCGTGGTTCTTTGTAACGCCTTCAATGATTTCTTGTTATTAACTGCAGTAAATAAAATGCTTCAGCCAGTTTTCTAGGCCCTATATTAACTTCTCCAAATATTTTTGAGCATTTCTGTCAGAAGACTTCCTTGAGGAAGATAATGTCTGGTTTTACCTTTAAGGATGGCGTTGGTCAGGCTCTGTGTATGTGTGTGTATGCGTGGGGGTGCCTGCACATGTGAGATCGTGTGTGTGTGTGTGTGTGT